AAACTAAAGCATCATTCTGAATGTCTTTATTTTTGGCAACTCATGGAATCATTTGACATTTAGGATTTCACTTGGCTTTGAACACATTTAAGTAACTCAGAATAATCTGAAAACAAGTAAGTTCTTTAGTCAGTCTATGTATTTGATCTTTTAAATATAGCTATATTCATAAAACATATGTAAAATATTATCCCATAAACTCTGGCTGTGCATATTATGATAATCTGGGAGTGTGAAATTTAAAACTCCAAATGATTTTCATAAGCAACACACATTAGTAAACAGTTTGTTTTTTTTTTTTAACTTTTAATCTGTGATTCAAATAAAAAGCATCAAAATTGATGCGGGAGATAGAAGTATATTTTGTTGTATGTTTCTATACGTATATAATGGGTGAGGACCTGTTGGTGTTTATTTCCACCTATTTCTTAGATGGAAATCCATGCTTCAGTTAAGTCAAGTTGCATTGCATCTTCTCTGCTGTTTGCTTCTTACGAACTTGGCCTTCTATGTTAAAATGTTTTAATTCAAGCACTTTCTGTTTCACATGTGTCACATCCAGAAGAGGTTGGCTGTGTTTTCCCCTGACGGCACATGTTTTGGTCATGACTGAGTTTAGGCTCCTTGGCACCTTCAGTGTTTAGCTGTTGGTGGGTGGCCTGTGGACCTTCTTCTTATGAGGAAGGTTTTGAGGAAGTTTAGAAATCAGAAGCCTTTCATATGACTAAAGAGCAGCCTGCTGCCATTCTTGAGAATTCTGATAATCTCTGACACCCAGAGATTAGAGCGTTCTTTGGATCGTACTGAGACACTCAAAAGTCATCCAACTTGTAGCATTTTTTAGCAGTGGGAACACTTGGTTGTAGTTAGCAGGCCAGAATGAGCTATAAATAAATAAAATCCTACAGTGCTTGCTTGCTTCATTCAGGGTAGTCTGCTGATAAGATGCAAGCATCTGGCAGAAGAGAAGATTCTCAGCAGGTTTAAGTGCTTACCAAAGTGCTTTCGTGTATCCATGGCTCAGCTTCTAGTCTCTGCTGTGTTATTTTGGCACTCGTGACTTGTAAGATTGGAGAGCCGGGTTTAAAACTCTCAATATATCATTAGGGTAGCCCAAGGTCCCTTCTTGTCAAAGAAGACTAGCTGATTCCAGAGGGAAGGAAAAGCAGAATCCAGAGCACCTGTAAATCCCTGTAGTTTTGTGCTGTGGGTTTGTAGCTAATTATACAGCAGGCAACACTAATATGCTGTAGCTCTGTTGGCATACTTGTTTCAAAAAGAGCAAAACCTTCCAGCAGAGCAAAGAAGGGGCTGTGAAAGAGCTGCAAATGAATGAAGCAATGATCATTTTATTGTAAACGAAAGCTCTACAGTAGAATTGGGGCATCTGAACTGCAAGGACGTGGTGGGGGAAATGCCAATAGAAATACATGGTTCACATGTGTTTTACAGCTCTTGATTTGGATTCTCCTGCAGAAATATAGTCACACAAGGAGACCACCACTGGTCACAGCCAGCCAAATTGCTCTTTCTCCTATGGTAGTGCTGTTAGCGACTGCTAGTAGGTTAGTCAGCCGACCTCTTCTGATTCTGCTTTGCTGCCTTATTTCAAAAGATTTGCCCTATACTGGCTTTCAGTCACAGCTTGATGTAACCACTGCTTGTTTGCATGCATCCCCATCATTTTCATATAGGGTCTTTTTTTTTTTTTTCCAAGTTAGACGGCGAAAGAATCAGGAGCATTTTTATATGATAAAAGATTTATGTAGGGCCAGCTAGAATCAAGCAAAATGAAATTCAGCTGGAAGGGATGGTAAAAGGCTGAGAGAACTTGTGACTGCCAGAGAAGTCAGTGTTCCTTAAATAAAGAGGGTTCAGCTAGCATGCAGCAACTCTGACTTTGCATTCATATTGAAGCAGGTCTCCAGCCATTCTGTGCAGGCAGATCAATAAAATCAGAGGTGACTTAATGCCAAGAACCTCAGAATGCAAAGGATTTCTCTTGTCCTTCTTTAAATTTAGTCTGTATTGATGTGGAATGCTAGCCTCAGGCACAGAGATGAGAAAATGCTAGGTCTAGAATCTGGTTTATGACACTGTAGTGAGCAGTGTCCTTGGAAAACATTCCCTTTGCTTTCTCAGTTATCACATCTGTAAAATGGAGCTAATCTGCTGGGAGGAAAATGCTTCCAGTATTTATCAAAACACTGTGAATAAAGATTCATTAAGTGCTTCCAATAGTTTAAACAGCAAATGTCTAATGAGAAGTGAATTTATATCCCATGTATGTATTTGAAAATGCAGCTGACTGCCTTATCAGAGATTGAGTAGTTTGACTATTTTTACATGATGAGTATGCAGTGAAATGTTGGTAGATTTGATTTTATTAAAAGCTCTATAAATGGAATATTAGATGCTATACAGTTTCTTCTTTGGTTGTTCATCTTTATGCAGACCATGGATCTAGCTTTCTAGTGTGTCACAAGTGTGTGCAGTATATCCCACACTGGTCATATTCTTCTTTTTTTTTTTTTTTAAGATTTTATTTATTTATTTGACAGAGAGAGACACAGCAAGAGAGGGAACACAAGCAGGGGGAGTGGGAGAGGGAGAAGCAGGCTTCCCGCGGAGCAGGGAGCCTGATGTGGGGCTCGATCCCAGGACCCTGGGATCATGACCTGAGCCGAAGGCAGACGCTTAACGACTGAGCCACCCAGGCGCCCCTCACACTGGTCATATTCTTAAATTGAACAAAGAGCCCCTGTCTAGGGCAACAAAATATACAGATGATCATTGTGGACATGGTTAAGTATTTAGATGGTGATAGAGTTAATCCTTCTTTCCCTGCTCATCTCCTGTGCAGCCCCACAGATTCTTATTGTGCCCAAGAGGATAAGCTGCATCTAAACTTACTTCTTCCATGAATGATTTGGGGCCATTCTGTTAAACACTGGAGATGCTGGGAGTTTTTCTTCTTACCCCATGCTGTGTAGATGGTACAGGTTCCTATAACACAGCAGCAGGGGGCTCCCTAGGAGAGCTTTGACAATTGCTGATGAAGAAGTGCCGGCTTTTTGTTGGGGATGTTCTTTTCATTCAATCTGGGCCCTTCTTTGCTGAAAACTTGGCCCTCGTCCTGTGAAGACTCCAGAAGGGATTATAGTGCAGCTACAGAAACAGTGGCACCACTTTACTCATTTAAGAAATTGGTTATCAGTTGAGAGAGATTATACTGGTTTCCAAATTCCAGAAACCTGAATGAATGGAGCCTGAGATTGCTTTGGTTGTAGGATTCTTCTCTCTGAACTGAGGTTCATGGTAGGAGGCTGTGTGGGTGTTTTCTTTAGAATCCTCGGTATCTTGAAAGGAAGACTTTCCTATATTCTCATTAGCATTTACTGTTAGTTTTCTGCTTAGCTACAACTCCCTCTGCCCTAGAACCTGTGCATACTTTTTGTTTGTTGAGGATGGCCACTGTGCATTGTGACTAAGGAACTCTTATTAAATGAAACCCATTCCCGTGAACGAGAGGCTCAAAGAATCCAAATTGCAAAGGTGCAGGTTTTTGCACTCCGAGGTTGCTCTTGCTGCCGTATGAATTTGCTCTGTGATACAGGTTTGATGCAGAGAGCATTGCTACTCACAAATCACACGAGGTATACAGTTTGTGTGCAGTGATATGTCACAGCTTTTTATTTATATGGCCAGCTCAGTCTATTCTGCTCCTTTCACTGCCATGGAAAGTGCATCATTTTCCTCCCTCTCTCCTCCTTCCCACATATCATCAGCACCACCCACTATGTTCTGCCCATTAAGTTCTGTGTGTGCCAGAAAACCCCAACAATGATTAAATGCTGATAAAAGAATGTTAGAAGGTTAAGATATCAACCAATCAATGCCCTTATAGTACTCCTAAATTGTGGGTGGTAAGTATAACTTTGCCCTTTTAACATTGAAAGTAAGGTTTGTGGGTTGGTTTTTTTGTTTGTTTGTTTTTTTCAGTTGAGGAAATGACTTATGTCAAATTAAGGACGGGGGAGGGAAAGCCTTGGTGGCAAAGACCAAAGAGAATGCAGGAGACTTGCTTTGCAGTTTCCATTCTTACCCTAATCTTTCTTTCATGATATGGGCACATTCTTGGTCAGGAAACCCTAGGGCTGGCCAAATTTAGGTACGGTTTTATTTATGACAGGCCTAGAGTTTTTGAACTTGCAATAATCTTAAAAAGTCATTATTACCCTAAGGTCGTTTAGTTTTAAAAAGTATAAATTACTTAATTTTAAGAAAGGATATCACTCTAGTCATTGAATCATTTATCATTACATTCCTATATGATTTTCAGGTTTTTTTTAAGCTCCCATAGGCGGAGTACACTCGTTTCCAGCACCACCACTACCTCTCACCACCTCCCTGGTCTGTGGGAGGAGGAGCATGGGTAAAGAGGCTTAGAAAAGGTAGCTGGGAATCCAGATTCCGGGCTACTTTTCGTTGGAGGAGACTTTGTGAGTTCACCTCATATCCTGGAAAAGCAATTAAGGTGGGAGGGGCTGTGAAATCAAGTTCTCTGGACTTCTTACAAAAATTTCAGTAAAACAGGAGCAAGAAAGAGGATTCTGTAAGAATCGTGTCAAGAATGACATTTCATGTTGAAGCTTAAGATAATATACCATATCCATAAAGCTTAAATTAATTTTCATGAGGCTGTGTTTTATCACTACTCTGAGTTATTTTTTTTTTTGTAATAGAGCTATTTTTAAAAATCCATGGTAAATCTATTCTGACCCTTTCCATCAACAGTTGCTGTGGTGAGGTAGGTCAGGAGGCATGCCTCTTTGGAGGCACCCTGGGGGTTAAAGGGTAATGAGCACTTAATTATGTCTGTTGAATACCAGAGCACCCAGACTGGAGCTCCTCATGACCCGTCTGTATCTGCTCTGACAATTCTTTTATTATGGCTTTCACTAACCTACCAGTAACTAACTGTGGTTGTTTAATTACAGAGGGAACATCCCCACGCTAAACAGGTACTGTATGTTTAGTTTCTTTTCCAATTAAAAGCACCTCTTTTGTAACTTAGAATAGTGAAATCAGGGAAAAAATAACACTATATTTGACAAGTAATATGCTGTCTTCTGCTAGGGGTTCCTGAGCTCCCCTTTAGACATACTAAATTATTCTTCCTTGGAAAACATGTCTTCAGCTTTTCTTTACTGTTCCAGAAGCAACACTTGAAAATCCTCAGTATGGAGAAGCCCCCCTTCCACCCCTCCCATCTAGCTGTATATGACAGGGGAGTTGTCTGCCTGATGTTCAGCTTTGCTGTAAACATCTTCTTCTACTACGTTCTCTGCCTAGTTTGGGCCTTTCAGGGGAGAAGGCTTTAAGGTTACTCCTACCCTGGCAAATTGTTCACAATTTTTTTCAATTTTTAATTTCTCAAGTTTGCTTCTCCTTTTAGAAGAATGTAAACACAGGAATAGCTGATCTCATGTTTTATCAGTTTGTTAGCTTTATTAATTTGTTAGCTGCTTCTCTAAAGTGTTACAATGTTGTGAGAGTCAAATTTTATTTCAGACTCATGAGATTAACATTCGAAAAGTGTGTTTAAGTTTTGATGTGTGTAGCCCTGTGAAGAAGTTTCCAGGCCAATATAACACATTTTGGTATTTTGAGTTCCTCCTGTTTCTGAGCCAAGCAAGGCAACACAATGCAAGTTTGAGAGGATAGCCGTTCTGATTGGAATTGAATCTACAAAATGCCAAAGCAGTAATAAGTGGGTGGTGAGCTCTTTGTAGATGATCAATTATACATTGAAATATTTATAGGCTTATGTTTATTTTGTTCCTCTCCCTTTCAATATTAAGTAATCAAAACTGATTATAGCTTCTAGAGTCCAATTTGGACGGGGAGAGAAAAAGGAAGTGCTTTGGTTTGGTCTTTGTGTCTGCCTTTGGAGAGTGGGCTTGGTTCATTCCTGCCTGCCAGGACAGCCATGTCCTAGCCCCTGAGCAAAGGAAAGGAGGGGTAAACTGAATAGTGGCTGTTTCCCTTGGGGTCCAGGTGAGTGAAAAAGACACTTAACCCCATGTTTGCCACAAACACAGCCTGTTAGCTTATTCAGAGGGAGTTCCCTTTAAGTGCTATCTGGAACCCTTTTATCTTTCCTGTCTAAAGCCAGGCAGGTAGAAAAGATATAATGCCTCACAAACTTGCTCCTTTAGTAAATACATTTGGTGATCCTAGAAAAGAGGATGGTAGCATTTCTGAGTTCATATAATTCCGAATCCCAGTTTCTAGTGAGCACCATGTGTAAGCCTTGCTTAATGTGTGTTTCATTTGTTTGTTTCATTCATGGTTTCAATGGTTTCCTCTCCCACTCTGCCTTTCTGTTCTTTAGTACTGTCAAAAGATGAAGTGCCTTTCTCATAGTCGTCATTTGCCAAAGGTATAAAAACTTGGAGTGTCAGTCTCTATAGTCTGTGTGAGCAGCACTCCCATCCCCTGAAAAATTCCATTGCCTTTTATAATTACACTTTGAATAGAGTACAGTCTGTATCCAGACCTCAAGTCTGCATTGCTGCCTCTCCCCCCTGCAGTTCGGCAGGTGGTACACTTCAAGGAGATTTTTGAGCAGCTCCCCAAAATTCAGGTGCCATTGCCTTGCTCTGAACTTGATTCAGATCAGTATGCCGGTAGCAGGTCAGGCAAGTCCTGAAGGCATCCTTTACTTGGTCCTTCCTAACAGGCTGCCCTGACTGGGCATTTGGAAATACTTCCCTGTATGACTTACCAGTACATGCTGCTGAGGTGCATTAAGGAATATACAGACCCCTTCTGTTTTTAGACTGAACAACTCAGTTCTCTTTGAGCATCTCCATTTAGCACCTGTTTGTCATGCTTACACATACTTTGAGACCCATGCTCTGCCCCTTTGCATCTTGCTGGGATTTATTAAGGGCTTTCAGTTGAAGATATGTTTCCTTTGGTATAGAAGTATTTAAATATAAAAAAGGAAATTTTGCAATTTCGAGTTGAAAAAGGTCTCTTTTTCAAAAAGGGAGGAGCTATATTCCTTATAACTGCTATCCCAATCAGCCCAGTAAAGGAAGAAGTAAATACCGTAGTAAAGTTCCTTTTATAGACTGTGACTTGTTTCTGTATGAGAAATAATGTTTTCTACAATGACTTACTAAACCATTCCAAATGACTTTGTTGTTGTTGTACAAGCATATATCTATCTGTGAATACTTAAAGGCATTTTTCTTTAGGAATTCTAATAGATTAAGTGTTGCCTCGTTACAACCCACTTGGCTTGCTTCTTTTATAAGCGGGAATGTTTTAGGGAAGGGGAAGATGCAGGATGGTTTTTAACCCCTGTGTGCTATTCATTCATTAGACATATCATGGTTTCATTGTATTAAAACTGCCATGTAGTTCTTAGCTATCCTTAGATTTTTATTTGGAGAAATTTTGGGGTGCTAAAAATAGTTGGTATGGGGTAAGCTCAGATGAAAGGGGTCATATGAATCCATCAAGACAGTCTTATCCACAGTGGGTAAAAAACCAAATCTGCTCTGCAACCTGACCCTACTTCAGAGTTTTCTCCTGTTTCTTTTCTCTATTGTTACTCTCCCAATCCTGTTCCTGCTTTCCTTGTCTAATGCACTTGATTGAATTACCATTTAGAATGTCCTTCTCCTCCAACCTCAACCACTATGGCATGACTCACGTAGCTAGTGTCAGCGATGTGCTGTTGGACAACTCATTCACTCCACCATGTCAGCGGATGGGAGGAATGGTCTCTTTTCGGACTTTCGAAGATTTTGTCAGGTAAGACACTGTGGAACTGTGTGCAAGGGGAGCCACGGGCATCTCTCTTTGGGGGTCTCCGATCTCTGCCAAATAAAGGCCCCAAGAATTGCCATGAGCCAGCTAAGGAGATACAGCCTTTGCTGTATATGTCCTTGGAGAGGTATTGTTCTTCCATTTCTACCTCTTATTCAGGCTCTGCAAGCCTCTACTTGTTATATGAGCCTGGTCAGAAAAAAAGAAACAAACAAAAACCATCTTTTCCTTAGGAGCTAACAGAAGAAGCTGTCTGCTCTGTGATGAGTGAAATGTCAGGAGAAATTAAACACAACACCAGAATGAGCCCCACCAGAGACGATACATCTTTTGATTAAATGCATTCAGCATCTATCTCTTGATGTATACTGATGCATTACCCTAGGGGGAGGGGTAATTACATTGGTCTGTCACTGCTCTAGTCCCAGGCTCTTTCTGTTACTTTAAGACCGATGATGACAGTGGTGCTCATAGCTTACACGTGGGGGGAAAAAAAAGCTGAAGATCATTCTTTTTTTTAAAAGACAAAATATATATGGTTTATTAACATTTAAACAATCTATCCTCCTAATTTCTGCCACTTGGTGAAATTTTGCATGTCACCTCCAGCCACTGGTGATTCTATTAAGTTGACTATTGCGCACAGAGTAGGATAGATGCTTCTTGTGGGCCGGACTGGCAATGGCAGCGTTAGTTCTCTGCCTCTTGGGTTTTCATGGTGGGTGTTCCCCTGGTATTTTTCAGGATCTTTGATGAAGTGATGGGCTGCTTCTGCGATTCCCCACCCCAAAGCCCCACGTTCCCTGAGGCCGGTCACACGTCTCTGTACGATGAAGACAAGGTATAGTGTGCCCTTTGGGAAACTGCTTTGTTAGTTTAGACACAGGATTTGTAGTATATGCTATCTTTCTGACTTTGGAACATTATAGGGAAGAATTCATCTTTTTACCCTACTTTATATTAATTTTATATGCCTCATCAAAGTATTTTGGGGGGCAGATGGAATATAAATTCTAACCTAAAAAAAAAACTGTATTAATCTGTATCCATACAGATTCTCACTACTCTCCGTAGTGAGAATAGCACATGGGCTCAGCTAGACCCATTGCAGCTGCCTCTGAGTCTCTGAATGTTGTTTTAAAGACTTGAGCCGTGGTAGCTGTAATTCTTAGCAATGGCTTGTATGTTTGCAGAATGCTGCTGTCGTAGTATTCAGGGAATTGTGGACTTTAGATAGCAGAAAGTAAGAGGCATTTTGTTTAAAACTTTGTCCTTTTATTAAATCCCTTCTTCTCATTTCTCAGTAAACAGATGATTCTGTTTTTTCCCTCTGAGGTTATTTTCCCATGGCTTGATACTTCCACTGTTTGATAAATTGTTAGGAAATATATTATGTGGGAATATGTTCAGATGGCTTCTTTCACTCATTTTGCTTCACATTCTGTGAAGAAATGTGGCAAATGATTTCATTCCCACTTTATTGGCAAAAAGTTGAGGATTCAGTGGTCTTCAAGTTCATGTCAAGTCAGGATTTGAGGCTACCTCTAGTTAATACCTTTACTGCCTTATCTTTGAAAAGCTAGATGTTTTACTTAATTTACTCTCTGTTGTGGATGCTGGGCAATGGTTTCAATTTGCTTATTCATACTAGTGGGCAGACCAGAATGTCCTGTGGAGTGTATCTCTTTTTCAGGTATTCTACCAAGTATTGTAACTTCTCTCTGCCTCGGTATTAGCCAGCTTCCTAAATTTCTTTGTCTGTGTTCCTGAGTTACAGGTCCCCAGGGATGAACCAATTCACATTCTGAATGTGGCTATCAAGACTGACTGTGATATTGAGGATGACGGACTGGCAGCTATGTTCAGAGAGTTTACCCAACAAAATGTAAGTCCTTGGTTGGGTGGAAACAGATGGTGGCTGCTTTCTTGCTGGTGTATCCTACCCATCCTTTTATCAGTCACTACTTATTAGCCTGTCACTGATAATGGCTATGTCTTTTACATAGTTCTGCCTGTAGGGGTAAAATTCCAAAGTGATTTAATAGTACATAATGAGTGTCTTATGTCAAGAAATATAGACCTCAAGTGTTCAAAATGTTTTAAGGAAAGTAAGTTGTGTTCCTAAATCTTTCCCAGAGCTCTGTCTTGAACTTCCATTCACCTGCTGAATATTTACCTTTGGTGACTTTACTCCACATGTCTAGGCCCAAACTCCCCTGAGTTTCCTTCCATGTCCTTCCCTTGCCTCCCTTGAAAATATCAGTTACACTTCCATCCTCCTTTCAATTTTTTGTCCCTTGGATATCTTGTTGACATCAAATGTCATACTTTAAACCTAAATTTCCATCTTTTTCCTTCACCTCTGTATGACTCCCCCAACCCTCCCCCCATCAAAAAAAACAAAACAAACCCAAATAACCAAACCCTTTACTCTCCTGGTCATTCAGAAATCATTGACTTCTTCCTTTCCTTGCTGTTCCATTAATCTACCCCTCTACCCGCAGTCTATACTTGTTTATTTCTATCTGGCCAGTCACCAAGGTCTGTGAGGTTTTTCTTTGCAGTGTCTATTACCCTTTCTCAGCTTCTTAATTCTGAACTGCCATCACTCTAGTGTAAACTCTTGCCTCACATCTGAGGCACGGCAACAGGCTTACCTGTGATCCACCTATATTCCCCTCGTTCTTCCCCCAGTTTCCATTCTGCCTACCCCCACAAAATTAAATGTCCAAAATGCCCCCTTATCAAGTTTTTCTCCCACTCAGCAATGGTTCTCTCACCCTCACGATACGTGATGTGACATGCCTTAAATTCTGGTTTCTGTTATATAATCTACCAGCAGGTGCTCAAGGGGCCTTAATCTACTTGAGCTTGAACTTTTCCCCACGTGTACAGTAGAGTAATTCCTGAATAATCCAGGCCTATGGGATTGTGATAAGGTGCAAATGAAAAAAATTCACATAGAAGTTCTTTATAAATAAAAAGTGTTATTACTGCTAATAAATGTATGCTGACCAATTAGAAATGCAAGGAAGAAAAGTACATTTTAGTGAGGGCTACTCAAAGAAGTCTTCATGAAAGGTAAAGTTTGAGACAGCTCTTAAAACAAGCAGGAGGAAAGGAGGGAAGGAGGGGAGGCTTGTGATGCCAGCTCTAGGGGGCTCAGATCTAGGTGCTTTAGGAAATAATACATTCTTGGTCCTGAAGTTGCTTATAGTCTAGTTGGAGGGAATGGTTAGGCATGCTCAAATAATCTGCAGTTATATTACTTTTTTTTTTCTTTTTTAGGATTCTAGTGATTTAATGCAGTTGTATTTCATTGTGACATGATAGATGTCAAAGCACCTCTCTTCATCTGCCGTTAATGACAAGACCCATGTGCTTTCTTTGAATGGAAAATACCTAGCTCATAGTGCTTATTATAAAGAAAGAAGTCAGTAGATGTTTTTTAAAATTTAATTTCGCATTATAAACAATTAGTGCCATAGGCATTCACAGCATGCTAATGGTAGGTACTCAGGAAGAGATGGTCACTTTGTGCTTCACGTGAGCCTTAGCATTTAATCCATTATACTCTCACAGCACATAAACTGACTGGGAGACTGTAATGCCCAACATGAGGAAAAGGTATTTCCAGAGAAATGAAGGTACGGGACATGCCTGAGAATTTTTCTTTAGAAATTTACCTTCCTTCTTGCCCTGGACTAGTGACTGCCTAAAATTAACCTGAGACCAGTGACCAAGGTAACCTCAGCTGGAAGAGATCTAATGTTGTGTGTGGCTGCTGACTATGCTGCTTGATGAAATAATCTGTGGCCATTTCTTCCCAGGTTTTGAGGCATTAATTGCCTATATTTCATTGTTCTGACCTCAACTTTAGGCTTTTTATTACCCTCAGAACCAAGTCTTCTCTATCATCACACGTTGATTTAAAGAAGCAGTTTCCTTATTTTCACTATATTTGTAACATTAAGTGGCAATAGGAAATTGCCTTTTCCCTTTACCGAACTTACAAACCGAGACACAGAGAAATCCAGCATCTTTGTGTATGGCTTTTTGGAAGGCTAAGGGTACACTGTGCTGACATTCTAAGCCTAGAAAAGCTATTCACTGCATCAGGTACTGTGCTTATCTAGGAATATTTGGCATTTCACCTCCTTGTTTTGGGGGGAAAAACATAAAAAGGAAGGAAAAGCAATTAAAAAAAACCTGAAGTCATAACTAGTTTTGTTTTTCAGTTCTTGATCATGCTCCTAGTAGTTCAGAAAAAGTTTTTTTTTTTTTAAAGCACACATTAAACTATCAAATAGGTTGATCCAAATTGTCCAAATAATCTTCTAGTCCCAGCATGTCTTTTTTTCTCTCATAGAAATTAGGATCATATATTTGTAAATGACTTGTGGAGGAGATTGAAGCAGTCAGTGTAAATGGAGTTTCTCCAGGTGCTGATGCCTAATCGCTGGGTAATAGCTGTGGACTTGCTGTGAGACCCGCATTATTACAATGTAATCAGAATCCTGTTGCTCTGCTGTTATTGTCAGCCACTTGTGGAATTTTAAAAGCAATAACAGTTTTGATTTTAAATCATGGCATTATTAAAGTTATTTTCTTCCCTTGCCAGAACACAGCTATTGATGCTTGTCTTTGAAGGACTTGGCTGTAGTGGAATTCTTTGTTGGTGTTGGAAAAAAAAAACAACAACAAACGTTTCTGTTTCTGGGCATGCTGAAAGACAGATAACCACCACAACCCCCACTCGGCTCTGTTCTTTTAAAATAGTTTTTTTCTTATTGTAGTATCAATACTTGGTTATTTACACTAATGGGTATGATGCTAGTACAGATCATTTTAAAATGTTATTAAGCCAAAATTTATTCATGTTTGGCCTGGGGATTTATTATTAGAAAATTAATTTTTCCAGTTATCTTTTGTTTATGCTGTTAATTTTATTACTAGGCAGTGCCATAGTGGAAATGGAGAAGTAGAGGAAAATGGCTCAGGAATGTGCTTATTTATAAGAGGAAGCTAATTTGGATGTAAAAAATTCATAGTATCATGAAAGCTAAGAATTGACTTATGAACATAGCTCTTGGTTCAGGTTATAGCAAGGGATGTGATCAAACTAAAGTCTGAATGTAGGTTGTGAAAGTCCACATATTTTTTTCTATTTGTGTTATTCGTATATTCTCTCAGGCCATTCAGATGGAATTGCCTTTCTTTTTGTTGCCACATAGCCCCTCTTTGTTAGGGACCTTTAAAAGCATGTCTCTTACTTAATTTTTTTTTAATTTAATTTTATTATGTTATGTTAGTCACCATACAATACATCATTAGTTTTTGATGGAGTAATGTTCTTACTTAATTTATTAACCTACTTCTTTGTCTCTACTTTGGGCATAAGTGAGCAGTACAGTATAGAGGAAGGCTTAGATCTGAAGGCCCAAGGCTCATGTAAGGGTCTATCTCGAAACCACTGGTCTCTTTTGACTCCTTGCCTGTGCCAAGTGAAGATGTAAATAACCACTAAGTTTAAAAGCCTGTTAAACATTGCTTTACCAGTTTTTAAAGAGAATCTTTTAAAAAAATACCTTCATGTAAAGCAGGGGGGAAATGTTTTAGAAGAACTGAAAAGGTCAGGACTTAGTTGAATTCTAGGAATGCAGTATCTGATGATAGGTAATATCTGTAAATAACAGTGTAGCACCTGAATTTTCTGTTTTATGGAAATTTCTTCTTTTCCCTCTACCTGATTACATTTAGCTTCTGTATCAGTATTAATTTTCACAGTTGAATACAGGCCCACCAGTTGTGATTTTATGAGCAGAAATTGTGTTAAGGTTCACCTTGATGTAAATCAGTCCTTAGAGAATTTAGGTGACTTCGTATGATCCTTCCCTACAAAGTTCTCCTTCAGTTTTGTCCAGATCAGTATATGAAACCTAGTCCACCGGAGCCAGGTTGAGATTTATTTGCAAGTTGAAGGTACTGAGGCAAGATGTAGAGATCCAAAAAGGGTGCTTGCCCAATCAGAGCTTTATGAAGACCAAATGGGGTAAAATTGAAGATGAAAAGAGATCTCATCTGTTTTCTGTTTTACATGTTTGTTTGTAGAAAGCTACCCTGGTTGAGCATGGGATACGGCGCCTTACTTTCCTGGTTGCACAAAAGGTACTGGCCTGTGAATGATCCCTCTCCAATGTGTCTCATGCCGCTGCTAGAACTTCTAAAAATAAAATATGGGATTATAATCATATACTTACTTGTAGAACCTATGCAAATAAATAATTCTATAAATTTAATCAAGAAAAAAACATTAATTTAACTGATTGCCTTTTACTTAATTCATTTTTAATTCTATTACTGATTGCCAGCTTCTGTTTTTCCTTCTTTTCTGTCGTTCATTTGAAAGGATTTCAGAAAACAGGTCAACTGTGAGGTGGATCAGAGATTTCATGTAAGTAAAAGGAACCACAATGAAAGATTATTTACTGTTTTATCTGTTTGCCACTGATTATTTAAATATATAGAATATGTGTGAGTTATTTAAAGGGCTGAACTGATGTTTGGTTCTTCTTTTAGAATGTGTTAAAATGAATCTCCCACTTCTGTAAGAGTGTGCAAGCTGGTGGTGTTTTTTTTTTAACCCTATAATGAATTCTCAGTATCACTCTGAGAAGTAGTTAAGGATGAACATATGTGTTTATCCAGATGACTAAGGAAGAAGCAGGAACTAACTAGTAATTTCTTCTGTGTACATAGTGAATAAGGGACTCAGTAATCAAGAACTGCCGGCTGAGGGGTGCCTGGGTGGCGCAGTCGATTAGGCGTCCGACTCTTGGTTTTGACTCAGGTGGTGATCTCAGGATCCTGAAGTCGAGCCCCTTGTCAGGCTCTGAGCTCAGCACGGAGTCTGCCTGGGTCTCTGTCTCCCCCTGCACCTCCCCTCTGCTCTCGCATGCTCTCCCTCTCTCTCCCTAAAATAAATAAATAAATCTTTAAAACAAAACAAAACAAAAAAACAACTGCTGATTGTATTTTGGGGTCTCGGCTTCTACCAAAGTTGGATTCAAGTTCTATTCTTGAGAATTCTCAATTCTGAAATGAAAAACAGTCATTTATTATTTAAAATATTTTAACAGAATCCAAGTTGGTGTTTTTCTTGTGTTAATTCTAGGAACAGGAAATAAATAAAATTTTTAAGCATTAAATTGCTTGTTCTCCCGTTTAACTGAGTTACTTATTAATATTTATGGAATTAACAATTTTGTTGAAAAGAGAACTAAGTTAGGGGGCGCCTGGGTGGCTCAGATGGTTAAGCGTCTGCCTTCGGCTCAGGTCAAGATCCCAGCGTCCTGGGATCGAGTCCTGCATCGGGCTCCCTGCTCCTTGGGAGCCTGCTTCTCCCTCTGCCTCTCTCTCTCTCTCTCTGTCTCTCATGAATAAATAAATAAAAATAAAAAAAAAAAGAAAAGAAAAGAGAACTAAGTTAATAGCCTGGCATCTAAACTATGGTATATCCATGATCATACCTAGTATGATAGTCATAAGGTCAAAAATCCAGTTTACAATCAGGATGTCATTTTCTAAAATGACTGATTATAGTCAACATATTTCTTTAAAAATTGACCTAATGCAACTGAGTAAAATTCCAGAAGATATTAGGTTGGAAGTCTTAATTTTCCTGATAAGAATTTTGTTTTGTTTTGCTTTAACAATTAAGATAATTAAGTCAGTTTTCAAGCACTGCTCATTTGCAATAATGAAGATAGCTTTTGGGATTCTGGAAAGGACTTTCTAAATTCAAGAACCTATGTGTGATTGCTTTTATTGCTCTTTGTTTATTAGGTCTGTAGTACTTGACATATTGTTTTCCTTCTCACAGTTCACCTTGTTGGTCTAGTCTATAGAGAAACAAGAAACACTATCCTACAAGCTAAAGAGCTAAGATTTTCTGAAATGCTTTAGGAAATGTTGTGGACTGCACAACTTCCCTGTGTTATTGATGTCAGGAAATCAAGCGGAGTGCAGATATATATCAATCAATAACTTTAGATAGGAAACTAGAGGCAGTGGAGAAGTATGAGGAGCTTAAAGAGAACCCTGGGGCTTTAGGAAGAAAAATCAGGAGCTTAGAGTATAAAATTGATTCTTGGGATAGAATATGGGAGCCCATGAATAAATCGTATGGCTAGTAAATGCTGATCAGAACTAAGGTAGACATGCCAGACTGAGACCTGGGTTTGGAAGAGTATTGGGCTAGGTTCTATTTTTTTTTTTTTTTTTAAGATTTTATTTATTTATTTGACAGAGAGAGAGCACAAGCAGGGGGAGCTGCAGGGAGAGGGAGAAGCAGGCTCCCCGCTGAGCAGGGAGCCCTGTGTGGGGCTCAGTCTCAGGACTCTAGGATCATGACCTGAGCCAAAGGCAGATGCTTAACTGACTGAGCCACCCAGGTGCCCCTGGGCTAGGTTCTTAAGTCTTAATGTGATATTTCATTTCTCACTGACTTTGGAGTAACATAATATTCTGGGAAATAATAGTGAACTTGTAAAGTTATTTTCTTTTCCCTAATAGTTCAGATGGAGTCTTCTTGTCTATAGCACAGAACTGGTTTCCTATAATAAGCAGTCCGTGATAAATTAAAACCCTCCACTAAAACTTCTAAAAAGCCAAAGTGATTAATTCTCCCGGGCATTATTTTTCTTTTGTACTTTCTTACCTCTGAATCTATGTCATGTCATAGAGTGTATCTACAGCTTTAAAACGTTGTTGTTGTTTTTTTTCTCTCTGCTATCCAGTAGGTTAAATAGGGACTTATATAGGCAAAATCTTCTAGGAAATGAGCCCAGTAGCTGGTGTTCCCCAGCAATCATTGTCCGGTTCCTATTTATAGTGGCATCAAGTGGGAAATCTGTTAAATTATCAAGTGTCTTGTCACGAGTGTAGGAATGTAGAGAACATTAAGGTTTAGGTGTGGACTGGATTTTCTCTGAAGAATTGAATGGCAGAGGAGTTGGGGTGCTTTTATGTTAGGCTCCTTAGAAATGATCCTAGTGGTTATGCAGGGGGCAAGGCCAACTATTACTGAGCTCCGTCCAGGATCCACAATAGCCAGCAAGCCTTGGCAGGAGTCGTACAAATCCAGGGCTCACTCTCATGGTACTGCTGTGAGTTCCTCTGCTGGTAGTAGCTTGCCATTCATGAAGGATGCTTAGCCTTTGTCATGTCATTTGATGTGTGCTTGCCCCATAGTTAGTGTAGTGTGAAAAAGAGGAAGCTTTCTGGGAGTGTTAGAGATGAATCCCTTGATCTCTCTGGCTTCTTGGTAATCCACTGTGATGTATGCAGCCTCCCCTGTTCTACACTGTGAAATCCCTATATTATTGAATAGAAGAGAGAACGCGCACATGAGGGGGCAAGGAGAGGAGGAAGGTTACCAAGTACAACACTGGCTGGTGTGGAATGAGGCCGCTAAGCTGTTGCATGGCCCTCTGGCTGCTTCAGAACCAGAACCAGCCCATGAGTGAGACAGAGGAGAGATTCCTAGAGAGCATGTATATTGTTAGGTCCTTCTTCAGATGCCAGTGAAAACTTCCTTGTCTAATCGCCACAGTCCCCCAAGAGCTGAGCACTGGAATGTCTGCTGCTGCCTTTAGTCTCTTGGAGACTCTCTTAGAACCCGGAGCCTGTCCTTCCAGGCTGGCCCTATCCACCAGCAGTAAGGAGGCTGTCTCCAGGCTGTTTCCATGGCCGTCTAATTAAATCAGGTGCCCAAAACAGGACCCGAATAACTGCTTAACATGGATATTTACACAAAGTTTGAGGCCAACCCATCCTTGTAAATATCTCCTCCATATTAAAAAAAAAAATTGAAGCTTTGAAAGCAAAAGAACAGGGTCTTTGAGTTTCTGTAGCTGAATAAGCTGTCCAGTTTTATGTAGTATTTAAGTCTCTTAGTTTCACTCACATTTCAGATCTACAATTCCAGAAAGTGCAGCAGAAGGTGCTATTTGATTGGGATGTATTATGCTTTTTGAAGCTTTCCATATTTTTTTTCTCAGTGCAGTTTTGTTAAGGGTACTAAAATGCAAATTTTCAGCATTTCTTCTGATCCTTTGCAACCTAAACAAAAGCATTAGGTCCAAACATGGTGATAAGATTCTAAAATCAGTTTTTCATCTAAGTTTCCTTTTGCTTCTTGTTTGAAAGGATTTATGAGATTTAAAAAATTCTGCTATTAGTCACCTAGGAGATAGTTGTAGCTTTACCAGTTTTGTAGGAGTGATTCCCACTTTAAAATGGTTTGGATTATTTGGGCCTGAAGGAAGAACCCACTATCAAAAATAGTTATCATGGTTAGTAGTTCATTTCTTTAAAAAAAATTGGTATGTCAATTATATCTCAATAAAGCTGGGAAAAAATTGGTAGTTTTGTTTGCTAGTGGATCAACTATTAGTTTTTCAGAAGGTTTGGTTTGGGGTTTTGTTTTAATTACAGTCTATATAATTAGTTCTCAGCATGTTGAGGTAAAAGAGAATTGCACCAGCAAGTTTCCAATTTCTTCATCTCATTAGGTTTTTAACACGATTATTAGTATCATAATCAGCTATGATGTTTTCTGTTGCAGGTTTTCACATTCTCTGATTTGCAGGGTGTCTTGATTGGCTAATTTAGGCAAATTATTTTGATTGTCTTGATGATGGTTGGCTGATTTGAACACAGCAGGGGTATAATTTCTTCCTGAGAAATGTTGTATTCTTTTGGTTTTTGGTACCAGAACACTAAGAGGATTTTTCTTTGTGTACATTCAATTATGATATTTACCCATAACACTAGTAGAATGCCTGGAAAGCAATTACATTAGTGATGGAATAAGCATGAATGCTGTTAGTGCAAAAATTGGAAGTTTCAGGATGAGGTAGGGTGAAGGAATTTACTACAACTATAGGTCCAGACTTCTTCATTTCTTCTTCTCTGTGTTTCTGTGATTTTTTGAGCACCGAAAGAGGTGACTTGCTATAAAAGTCTTCAGAACTTGTATAGCTTTCCAAGGATCACTCAGTAATCCTGGTTTCTCATCGCACAGAACTTCTGGCCATCTCCTGTTCTGAATGCTTCACACTTAAATTGAGGACCTCACTATGGAACTAAAAAATTTGCTCAAAAGTTTAAAAAGAAAAAAGTTTGCCTGTATCATCTCATAACACTTTTTCTTAACAAAAGTGGTTTTTTTATTTTGGTAGTCTTTGCCCATCTCTGTCAAGAATTAGTCAGCCTCTTTCATTATTTGTTGTAAATTTGTTCCATTCAGACTGTTTGCTTCCCATGCCTTTCAGTTACTACAAATTTTCTTAATTGGCTGAGTAGTAAAGACAGTGTTTTTTGGTTACCATTGTGATGTTTTTGAAGAAAAATGATTTTGATCCTGCATATATACACACTTGAATAAATGGTACACTAAATAAATATTTTAATTAATAGTTCTGGCAGAATAGGGTGTATGCTTAAGAGACTTTATTATGATTTTCCTTGCCTCTTCTTTCAGAAAATTTCATGGGAGGATTTTATTACCTTTCCTGTTTTTGACCTGTGTTGCTTTTTTAGCTAATGCTCTGAAAGCCATACCTCTCAAGAATAAAACCAAAACTAGGCTATATAAAGCCATGAGCATGAAATCTACTGACAACTCAGCTGAACATCTTCCTGCTTAACCTTGAAGTCATCCCCATGTTCTTCACTATCATTCAGGGGAATTATTTAGAACAAAACATCATCAGTAAAAGATCAGTGCTGTGTAAAACCCACTTTCAAAGGGCTTTTAAAGACCCGAGCCTGGACAGGGGATTTCCTGGGCTTGCTAAACAAGCTCCTAAAGCCTGTTAAATGCAGTTTTACAGTCAAAATGCCAAGGAAATATAAAATGATTTATTAACTTTGTAAGCTTTAGTTAAGGTATGAGGTGTAAATACCTGTGGAAAGTATTCAGGCTCTCAGTAAATTCAAGAACCACAAGTTTTCAGCAGGAGTTTTGCTTTGTTTTTTTCCTTTAAAGCCTTAATTTCTGTTTTTTATCTCATCAGGAAGTCGTCTAAATAAGGAATTTGGATTATGACAAGAGTAGAAAGGTAGGGCCCTACCCTTGAGAGAGAGTGGTAGAAATGAAAGGGTGTGGGCTCTGGCAACAGAGACTCAAGTTCACGTTCTGGTTCTGTGATCCTGGGCATATCACTTGGCCCCGGCTTCCTCAGCTGTAAAATGGGTCATCATATATACCTGAGAGGTTGTTGAGAGCACTTGTTCAATGGAACAGCACATAAGAGCGCCTGCCACCTAGAAGGCTTTCGGTTCATGTTTCCTTCATGCTTCCTGAGGCTCATTGAGGGATATTTAGGCAGCTAGCTAGTCCTGGTCTCTCTGCCTTGTACCAATAAGTGTTTGATTATATTGCACTCATAATGAAGAAGGTACCTGATGAAATCTCCTCTAGAGGCCGATAGTAATGACTTGATTCCAACACTGCTAGTAGAGCCTCTCATCCGAGAAACAGGGGTATTTGGTGTTAATAAGTTAAATTTCAGAAACTAATGGACTCTGCTAATTGAATTCATCTTTGTTAATTAATAAGGTTCTAGGAAATTGGTTGCTTTGTTGTGTAATGCCCTGCAAAAGAGCAGTAAGACCTAATGACTACAAGTTCCCTAGTTCCGTCCCATTCTCTCCTATACATAGAGTGTTAGTGACCAAAGTAACATCTTATACTTTTCTTTGTCTTGAAATATTATTGTTTAAACCCTTGGAATTATTGACTTGAGAGGGAATGTGGACAAAAACATGGATTGGGGATCCTGTGCTATCTGGCTGGTTTACATTTTAAGTTTCTTAAGGAGAAACTTGGGAAATCAGTCCAGTGACTACTTTTGCAATGCTGCATCGTAAGGGTATATTAGTTTTATTTGCCAGGTTGTGCCAAAAGCAACACCTGGGAAGATTTTTTTTTCACTTGGGAGATGAAAAAAATACTAATTTTTTTTTCCTAGGAGAGGGTAGCTATTAAAGTTAGGATAATAGTGTGGTGATTTCATATTTGGAAGTGGGGTCAAAGTGGTAGCTACCCAGAGGATCATTCATATTCCCCAGGCTAAGCTTAGGTAAGGAGCATGTTTTCTAGGAACTGCCTTCTAGATGCTTCACTGTTTCTATACTTACGATGTGTTTATCCCCAAAGAGCCATATCTGTGAAAGACTGACACGTTTTCCCCTTCTTTAACACAGAGAGAATTTCCTAAATTTTTCACCTTCCGAGCAAGGGATAAGGTAAGGACTGATTCCTTCCCACTTTTTTTTTTTAATCTTCATTTTGTTCTTAAAAACCCAAGAATGGCTTATTTTTGCCATGTGCTCTTCTTGCCATTCTCCTTTCTCTGACTGAACTTGTGCTTCCCTTTGCCTTACATGTGTCTTGGAACTAAAGAAGACTCCTTTCTGAAGGAATTTGGTTTAGAAAACAATCAAATGTATCCGGAGAAAGCGATAACTTTCACAGTTCTCCCTACTCTTTAGGATGATCCTAATGATATAATATTAAAGGACTACTATACTTAGTAGTAGTATTCTTGTCACCCACAGACAGTTCATTTATACCCAAGTCTTGTTTATGTGCATTTTTTTTTCAATTTTGAAATACAGAATTTCAGACCATGTTGGTTTCTTCCTGTTACTGGCTTTGACTCTCCCTCTCCTTTCACTCAGTTGACATGTGCTCTGGAAGAACGATTTTATTTCAACAAAACATACAGTAAATGTAAACATAACTTTTAAAAAAGATACATAAATAGTTATATATCTGTAGGGATGGAGAATATTCCAAAGCCAAATATTTTTATTTTTAAAAATTATATGATGTTTATTTGTTGAGTATTTCCTGTGTCATTGATACTGTGCCAGAAATAAGAATATAAAACCAGGCCCTGCCTGTAAACATTTTAGTTGGGTAAACCCAAAACACTGGTATGTGAAGTAGATATTAATATGAAGCAGTCTGTGGTTAATTATCAAAAATGAATTGTATAGACAGTAATGCAGTGAGAGTTCTGAGGGAATTGGTGTTTTTGTTTGCTTGTTTTTAATGGTGAGCATCACCACTTGTAAAAGCATAAATGATGAAAGCTTGGGAAGTAAATAGGCACTTCAGTCCCTAATCTTATGTAAGCTATAGCATTACCCTTGTATGTAGCTCATTTTTTGTTGCTTATTTGCACATCATCACTTATGTTTCTGTTTTCAAGCATCTCTTTTTACGTACATGTTCTTCATAATGTAATTTTGTAACTGCCTCTTGTGGGCTCTTTTGTTCTCCACTTTCGTGCTCAGTTTGAGGAGGATCGTATCTATCGTCACCTGGAGCCTGCCCTAGCTTTCCAGTTAGAGCTGAACCGGATGAGAAATTTTGACCTTACTGCCATTCCATGTGCTAATCATAAGATGCACCTGTATCTTGGGGCAGCCAAGGTGGAAGTGGGCACGGAAGTGACAGACTACAGGTTCTTCGTTCGTGCAATCATCAGACATTCTGATCTAGTCACCAAGGTGGGTACTGTACTTTGGTGGGAAGTCATCCCTGAGGGAAGGGGCAGAGAAGTAGGCGTTGTTGAAAATCAGGTTTTCATTTTTTGAATCACGATTCTTATTCTCATTCTTCCCACTCTCCCGTATCCGGCAGAAGTCTGAGAGTGCTTTCTCTCACAGAAATAAATATTCCATATTATAAAGGGCTTTAAAAAATTTTTTTTTCTTGGTAGTGGGGAAGAAGCATGAAAGCACTCACTTGAGAGAAGCAAAAGCGTCTTAATGGAAAGATCACAGGGAGAGTTAGGTGATGATAGAAGATAAAGAGAAAAGTTAGAGATGGCCCCGTTGTAAGCCCATCTAGACATAGGGTAGTTTCTGTGTACAGCAAGGCACTTCCTGGCGCGTTAATTACTGCATCCCATAGCTATACCGTTTTCAGCTTTTATTTTCCAAACAGATTTACTTTCTAAACTGCTCTGTTTGCCATACCTGAAAAGTAATCCTATTGGAGGTATAGCTTTGGGGATGCCCAGCATAGCATGTCCACCTGTTGGAAGGAAATGGCTTGCTAGGAGGCAGGAGGAAGGGCTGCAGGAACTCTTTATCTGACCATTGCCTGCCCCTGCCACCTACAGTCATTGAGCCGACTCTAGGGAGAAAGGTAACATCAGCAGGTGCTTTATGATTCATGACATACTACTACTCAAGTTATTATAATTTTCCAGTTCTTTATTGACTCTCTAAAACACACTAATGTTGGTGGTGATTTTCTTCTTGCATAGGAAGCTTCTTTTGAATATCTACAAAATGAAGGGGAGAGGCTGCTCCTAGAAGCCATGGATGAGTTGGAAGTCGCTTTTAACAATACAAATGTTCGCACTGACTGCAACCACATCTTCCTCAACTTTGTGCCCACGGTCATCATGGACCCATCAAAGGTACATTTCTCCTTAGCTTCTCTTCCAGCACTACCAAACACAAGCAGAGAGATTCATCCATATTTATTCTCACTTGGACCTGGGAACAGGTACTCTTGGCCAGCTAGTTGAGCCCTTGATCTTTAAAGTTTACGGAATGCTTGTGAGACAGGGTTTCCAGGAGGGTGTCAGAAATTCAATATAGCCACTGAGAGCAGACATCAAAATAGAAGGTGGTATGATGTTATCTTGCTGGTCATTTATAAGCAGTACAAAAACATAAATTTCTTTCTGTTATTCCATGATATTTGTCATCATAGTGGTCCTATTTTTATATGATTCCCTAGGATTTCTCATCTGGAATAACTTTGCTATTATTGGGCCTTTTGGCAAAATTGCTGCTGCTTTGCCCTAACTGTTACTTACCTGGTGGCCTTAGGGAGACAATACGCCTTCACAGAGTGTCTAACCTGTTTCTCTCCGGTATTTTTACACAGGGAGAGAATTTGTTTGATGAGGAATTTTCACATGTATTATGTATGTTTTCTATCCTGAGGTTCTCTTCTAAAATTCATTCCATATAATTTAAGGAAGGAAAACAGGGTGATTCTGCACTTGACCTTTTATCCCAGGTGTAATAAAGACCGGCTGCTCTCTGTATTCCCTCTAACCTTTTTCTACCGTGGTATTGTGGAATTTCGTTAGGAGAACCAGTATTCCCCCTTCTCAAGATCAGTTGTAGGCATGGACTTTTGCTTTTTTGAACTTAATTTCTAAGACCTGAAAAGTCACTTTCTGCTTTTTTTTTTCTTCAAGACTCCAAATGACTGATAGGTTGCTTTACTCTGTCAGGAAAACCAAGGACCACTCCCTGAGTATCAAGTCTCATCATCTAGTTTAACTAAAGGTTCTCTTAAGCATTCTGGGACTGATGAGGCTGGAATACTGAAAATGGAAACCATATAACTATATATATTATATATAATTATATAACCATATATATTTTTAGGTTTGACTTAACCATTTCTCAGTGAGTTGTTTAATATCTGCCTCTCTGCCTCCGCTCTAAATACCCATACACCCTAGCTATGCCTTTCCAGTCATAGGAGCTGTCAGTTTCCCATACGTAGAGATTGTTGACTTTTGTTCCCTCACGAAAAGAACAGATAGATACCTCTTGGTTAACAAGCAAGTGTGGGACTAGAGAAGTCAACTCCTTGAAATCCATTCTAATCTAAGATTCTGTGGTGCAAAAACAGACTGCAGGGGTGGCACATACTTCAGAAGAACTGTAAGAGAAGGGTGGTAGAAGATATTTTTGATATTTTCTAAGTTGAGAAAGCATTTTAGATACTTCATTTAAGAAGACGTTAATTTTGAGTAGTATGTCCTAGCTGCCTACAGCCATATTGGGAAAACAAAATTTCACTTTAGAATGTCAGTAAGGAAAAATCCCATCTAAGGCCATTTGGTTAAAATAACTTGCCTAAACCTGAAAACTAGGAGTGCTAAGCTGCCTTGGTATAAGCCTTAGAGAAACTATGGAACATCCCTCATCTACTTAAATCCCAGTTGGACTTGGCAATGACCAAGCTTCAGAGCCCTGTTTAGAGAGAACATTCTAGCCCCACCTACGAATTGCCTCTCTTTAATTTGTGCAGTTTACCAAGAGGCATGATATAAAGTTTAATAAAATTGTATAGGAAAAAACTCATGGTGGTAATTGCTATGATGATTTAAGGTCCTGTAAGTGCAATGAAACATAGCTACCATGCATATAAATGCTACTTAATAGCTATTTAACTAGAGATTTTATTCTTATTTGGGGCTTTCTCTTAAATCCCATGGCTTGTAATTTTAGATATTGCAGATATTCGATATAGAATATGAATATCATTGGGAAAGGGGTAGGGAGTTGCATAGATTAGGGTGTTGTGAGCCAGAGAACCCTACTCAAATGCCAGGCTGGCATGAAATTGTCCCTGATTTGTTCTAAGCGAGAGTAGGGTTGGGGAGAAATTATCTTACTTTTTATAAAGAATACATGTAGTGCCCATCTCCAGAAACCAGCACCTTTTTCCATTCCTTCTTTCCCAAAGATGGGCAGACCTGAAAATAGGTTCTAGTTCCAAGGTGTTTAAGTTTTGTGCTTGGTGATGTGTCTGTGACAGATTGAGGAATCTGTGCGGAGCATGGTAATGCGCTATGGAAGTCGGCTGTGGAAATTACGTGTCCTCCAGGCAGAACTGAAAATCAACATTCGCCTGACACCAACTGGAAAAGCAATTCCCATCCGCCTCTTCCTGACAAACGAGTCTGGCTATTACTTGGACATCAGCTTGTACAAGGAAGTGACTGACTCCAGGACAGCACAGGTACAGCAGGCTCCTCAGAGTTTTGATTGGGTCCTAAAGATGAGCTACTTGTCCTTGTTAGGGAAGACCCACACTCACAAGTCCCATTGCTTCACGTAGTGGAGTTATCCTCTGTCAGCTTAAATGGTCACATGAATTTGAAAAACTTCATTTGCCTTATAAGATGTGCGTGTGTTCTTAATCATGGTGTTATGAAACCCTCAATCTTTTGTGACATACTGATGAGCCCTAACAGATGCCAGATGAACCTGACTCCCGAGATAATTCTGCAGTTTAGGGTTCTTTTTTAGAGGGCTCTTGAGCTACCTGAACTACCTTGTCTTGTCTGGTCTGATCTGTCCTTCTTCCTGTTTTCAGCCTAGATAGTCTATTCATTGGCAAGTAAAGAGAAGAGAATTGTTGAAGTATGTCATCAACTTTGATTTTAAAGAAGGAAAATTTCAGTGTAATATAATAGCTTGAACAATGTCAAGCAGTGACTTTATCATATTTACCCATGATGTTATTCACATTTACACACGTTATTTTTCCTTCAGAGAGCTCAGAGTATTATGTTTCTATAAAAGAGCAAAGTAGCGAACCTTAACCCCCTTTTCAGGTAGAAAAATCAAGAATGTGAAAATGGAAGATGACTCTTTCAGTAGATTGATTCTGTCATAACAGAGAATTCCTTTTAATCTATGTTACCACCTTCATTTCTAAGTATTTGTGCCATTTGTTATGATACTGGATTTAGGTTGGTTTGCCATGGCTCACATATTCTTAAGAACTGGGTTGTTATTTTAGGTTTTTGTCCTGAATTTGGGAAGTGCATTTCTTCTGGTTAAAGGATGACCTTGCTCCAGTATGTGTACACAAAGATCTCAGTTTGTTCTATGCATTGGGTACCAGGAAGAGATTATATGTCTCTTGTTTTTATCTGTGTCCTTTTAAATCCAGGAATAGAGGCAAGAGAAGACATTTTTGCCAGTATTTTGAAGATGAATTTTAAAAATCTGAGTTTGGATAGTTGTCAGAGTGACCTTTCATTTTGTGCTTTGATTCCTAGTTAGATGGCCAGAGAAATCTATCCAGTGAGAAGTGAACAGTTAAAACAGAGAGAGAGTGAGCACGAGAGCACAAGGGATGAGCAAGAGAAAGGGTATACAATAATTTTTGCTGCATTTGATGTTTTTCAGGACAACCTTAAAGACATTTTCAGTCAGAGCTTTCCACAGTCAGGGATATTTTTAATTAACTTCTACAGTGCCTTCAAGGCAGGTCTATTCTTGTGAAAAATAAGATGGCCACTTGAGATTTTAATGTTTTTGATGAATACGTTTGTTCTTCCTAAGGACTTTTTTTTCCTTTTTTTTTATTAGAAAGCTCTTAGATTTCCCTCATTCTGGCCAGTGGTGGCACAGGGGCATGAAAGGCTCAGATGCCTTCAGCCAGGATTTAGTACTATGCCTGGCACAAAATAAGCACTCAGTAAGTATCTGAAAGAATGAATGAGCTCCCTTTTGCCTGAGGGAAAACCCCTATTACCTTGGGTCCTGCATATTTAGGAAGCCCTGAAAGAAGAGGTCTCCCTCAGGCTCTTCAGTGGAGAGAGTTCAGCGGCCACTGCTGAATGTAAACCCAGGAGCCCAAAAGCCCCTGGCTAGAGGAGGGAACCATCAAAAGAACAGCCTTCAGCTCTTCTCTGGTGCTCTTAATGTCTACCTGATGCTTATTGCCAACTTATTTTTTCCTTGTCTTTGTTCTAGTAAGTCATTATGGTAAATTTAAAATAATGTAGAGCCCTGTGTATCATTCATTCATTTGTTCATCGATGTACCATCGATTGACCACCTATAGTGTGTCAGGCACTATGGATTCAAAGATAAAAAGTAATCTCTATTCTTGAGAAATTTACATCAGAGGGGGAAGAAGACAGATAATTAGTTTCTCAGTAGTATGATTATGATTTGTGCTATAATAAAATAATAGTGGTGAAAGGTGTATGATATATATAATACATACATGTTTTCATGAACTTGTAAAACATACACTTTACCCATTTTTAACTCCTATGTCCATTATAGTACAAAAATGGAATTATTGTAGGTAGCCGATCATTCAGTAGTATCCACTACCACCAGCCTCTTGCTCAGCACTTCATTTATTCTTTCTGACAACAAGAAGCAAGGTTGAGGGGCCCCTGGATGGCTCAGTCATTAAGCGTCTGCCTTTGGCTCAGGTCATGATCTCAGGGTCCTGGGATCGAGCCCTGCATCGGGCTCCCTGCTCGGCGGGAAGCCTGCTTCTCCCTCTCCCACTCCCCCTGCTTGTGTTCCCTCTCTCACTGTGTCTCTCTCTGTCAAATAAATAAATAAAATCTTAAACAAAAAAACAAGAAGAAGCAAGGTTGACTGGCTTGAGCTTCATTTCGTTTCATTTTCCTGGTAAAGTCTTTGTGTTATTAGCTGTAATGAACACTGATGTCAGCCAGTCACAGTGGGGAGAAGAGATTTGGGTAATCCATTGCATATGTCAGTTGATTTCCAATGTGTAGTGTAAGGGAGAAACTATACATTTTAAATGACCTTTATTGAGATACAATGTACATATAAAATGCAGTTATTTTATGTATATACTTGGGTTCATTCTGAAATTGTATACACCTGTATAACCATCATCACAGTCATGATAGAGAACATCTTGACACCCCTTAAAGGTCTCTTATTTTCTTTTGCTGTCAAAGGTAGAGTCACCAGCCCCAGCCTTAGGCAACCACTCATCTGCTTTCTATTATTACAGATTAGTTTTGCCTGTCCTAGAATTTCATATATATGAAATTAGACACTATGTACAGTGTTGTATCTGGCTTCTTTTGCTCAGTATAATAATATTTTTGAGATTATTCTATGTTGTATAGACAATGGGTATGTTCCTCTTCATTGCTGAGTGGTATTCTGTTTTATGGATATACCAAAAAAATTTTTTTAAAGATTTATTTATTTATTATTTTAGAGAGTATGCAAGTGAGCAGGGGGAGGGGCAAAGGGAGAGAGAGAATCTCAAGCAGACTCCCCGCTGTGCGTGGAGCCTGATGCGGGGCTCGATCCCATGACCCTGAGATCATGACCTGAGCCAGAATCAAGAGTTGGACACTTAACGGAGTGAGCCACCCAGGCACCCCTGGATGTACCAAAATTTGTATATTCATTCACCTTTTGATGGATATTTGAAGTTTTATTTTCCAGTTTGGGCTATTATGAATAAAGCTGCCATATGAACATTCATTTATAAGTCTTTATGTAGATATGTTTTCATTTCTCTTGGGTAAATATATAAGAGTGTAATTACTGGGTCACAGTAAGTGTATTTTTTTTTTAAAGATTTTATTTATTTATTTGACAGAGACACAGCAAGAGAGGGAACCCAAGCAGGGGGAGTGGGAGAGGGAGAAGCAGGCTTCCCGTAGAGCAGGAAGCCCGATATGGAGCTCGATACCAGGACCCTGGAATTATGACCTGAGCCGAAGGCAAATGCTTAACAACTGAGCCACCAGGCGCCCAGTGTATGTTTAATTTTATAAGAAACTGCTAAACTGTGCAAAAGTAGTCATACCATTTTAAATTCCCACCAGCAGTGAGTCTACCTAGAGGGCTTTCTCCAGTCCCCTTTCTCAGTCCACATAATTATGTTGCTTAACTAATGACCAGCCTGCCTTCATTCCACCTTGGCAAAAGTGAGTCTCAAACTCTGACCCACAGCTCTGGTCTTTCCTAATAGACAGGAATGTAGTCCCAAGAACCTGCTGCTTTTACTCCTTTTTCTTATTTTGATTCAGTTTATCTCCTCTGAGTCCAGTTTTCTCATTCTAACACCCTGACCTCACTTAACACTTTGAATTTCTTAAAACATTTCCATTTCTACCTAAGATATTGCTAATTCTACCTCCTACCCAGTGACTTTGACCATTAGTCATGTGGAATAGGACTGGAAGCTCCCTTCTTTGGGGTTGTAAGCCTCACAAGACAGTTTTTGCCCACTGTAGGACCTGACTGACAAATCAGTAGAACATATTTGTTCCTCTGAGGTTAGGAGGGTAAGGATTCACTTAGCTAAATGGTGTCCAGAGTTTGGGAAAGTACTTAATTCTGTTGTTAAGCCTATATATTGGGTTCACAAATCTATTCCTTAATGGTAGACTTAAGCTTATTTATTTTAGACCAGAATAGATATGTGGGTGTATACACATACCCTTATTTCCCACATTTGTATTCACTGTGTTGGGAATCTATATTTTATGTATTCATGCATAAAGTGCCTAGTTTAGTGTCATACAACCTCTGGGCACTCAATAAATATTAACTAAACTGAAGTAATGGCATACCTTATAAATATTCATCAGCAAATAAAACTAAGTATATGGAGTATGAAGTACTCTTCTCGAAAATGTTTGGGTTAAAATGATTAAAAACTGGTGTGGTGATTTCATTATGTGACAATATAGGTATTGCCGGAGCTATTCACTAGTTTTAGACCTAGTATACTGAGGGAGATAAATATGTATATCTATATTATATAAATATATATAACACATTTATTTTACTATAGGCTATGTCTTATGAGCTAATGAGAACTGACTAGCTAGATGGATGGATGAAATCCATTTCTGGCAGAAATCTTTAAAGCCTTTGTGTGGCTAGTAACACTTATGAAGAAGCACCTTCTAATCAAGTAGACTAGAGCACAGATAATAGGGTAGAGCCTTGACCTGGCCTTCTCCTGTTGGGGAAAGAGCAGAATTCTCTTCAGTGCATAGCTGTTCCTCAACTTAACTGTGAGGACTGCTCAGACTTGTTGGTTGACATACTTCATTTCTGAGTATGTGGAATTCAAGTTACTTTAGAAGGCAAGCATTGTCAGTCTGTCTCTGAGGTGTGAAATTTACACTGTGCTTTCTTGTTGATTTCAACTAATCCAAAAGTGAGAGCAGCGCATGGTGTGTCATTGGTCACATACCATTTTTTGGAGTTGGATCATCTGTAGAGAGGTGAGAACACTACCCAATGTGTAAAGGCATGTCTTAGCTATTCAACCCACCAAAAATGTGAAATAACATTTATGAAGAAAGCGCATCCAGGCAGCTGATTTTATTCTGTCTCTTAACTCCCATGCCATTCTCTTCCTCCTGCAGATCATGTTTCAGGCATATGGAGACAAACAGGGACCACTGCATGGAATGTTAATCAACACTCCGTATGTCACCAAAGACCTGCTTCAATCAAAGAGATTCCAGGCACAATCCTTGGGGACAACCTACATATATGATATCCCAGAGATGTTTCGGCAGGTAAAGGTGGCTCACTGGAGGGAATTTCATATGTTCCAAAGAGACAGGATTTTTCCTGAATTTCCATTAGAGGCAGCTTAGCCTGGAATGGGGGCACTCCCAAAGGGCAGGAAATACCTTAACACCACTCTCATTTCTATCTCGTTTGGGATTCGGTGACTGCCAACTCCAATATTGGGTAGTTCTTTATGAATTAATGGAATGGTAAGGATAGAAGCCTCTGTTGAGTAGAAGAAAGTAAACTGAGACAGCATGCCTGTGATGGTAGTTTACAATAACCTGTGTGAGGAGTTATGTTCAGGTATATATCTCCTAAGCCTATAATCAAATTATGGATATTAAAAAAGAGGCTTGAAACTCTCTCTTTTTCCTATTTTCCAAGATAACCCAGGTCTTTAGCTGATAGCCTAGGTTAATATGATGAGAATCAATACTGGTAACATATACAAAGGATATAGAGTTCATGACACACAGTTTAAAGTATCAATTCTTTTGTGGGAGATTTATTATAGCTGAATAAAAACTAGTGTGAAAAAATACAACATTATGATTCTCACCTTTATATGAAAATAAATTCCTTTGATCTGTATGGTGAATCATCTCTATGCTACAGATTTTTCTTCCATCAGTGGAAGGCAAGAAAAGTACATTCGCAGCAGAAAATGCAACAGATAAAGTATCAAAAGAATACTGAATTTGTCCTTTAAAAAAATCTGTGAATATAGGATTTTTCCGAGTCTCCTAGTCAGTACTACCAGTATTACCACATTTGAATTTTAATAAAGTAATATATGTGGCCTTGGTAAGCAGTCTATCTGTAATTCCTGTATTATTCACAAGTATAAGATTTCCTTTATGTAGTCATTTGTTTACAACAGAAACATAGCTATCTTCATTTAGTATTACCAGCATTAGTAGCCTACAAGTGGAGTGTTGGTTCTGTTCCCCAATGCCAGAACTATAAATAGGAATGTCATTTTATATAATTCTCCTTATAGAATAGACATAAACACTGTGATTGGAACATGTAGGTATGAATGCGTCATATTGCCTTTAAATGTTGCTTTGAGACAAGCAAAGAAACAACCAGTTCCCACTTCATGAGGCATTTGTTTTGGTAATATGGAAGTTGGAAATGGAAATTATAATGGTTTTTAAGTGGATCAGTGTGTCTGTCTGTCTTCTCATTTTTGAGCAAAATTGATCTGCACATTTACAAATAGTCCTCCACCTCTCATGAACTAATTCCTGCATGCGGGCTGATAGATCTGAAAAGAAAGAGGATGCTTCCCCTGAACCTCTAGTAGAAACGTTTTTCTTGCCTTCTTGGGTTTTCTTTGTATTAGCTGAGTGTCATATCACTTTTCCTGATTATTTTTCTATTCCTCTAGGATTTTTCTTCCATTTTTTAAAAGAGGGATTAATGCTACTTAGTTTTTTATTTTAATTTTCCTGGGGGGTTAGTGGTCAGGTCTGTTTGTTAGGTCTGTTGTGTTTGTTAATGCTCTATGCTGATTCAGAATCACTCAGCAATTTGACTTTGTTGGAAAAGTGCCTGCTTTTGACATGTGAAAAACATTATGTGAAAAATCATTACAAATCTGTTTTTTAACTGAGAATGAGAGCTGCAGAATTTGGCCTAATGCTTCGATGCTCAGCAGAACACTTGGAAAGGAAAGAGCAAAATCAGATTGACTGAAACTTAATATTTATTTTTGTGATGTTGAATCGCTCATTGTCACTGATGACTCAAACTTCTCTCCTCCACTAGTCTCTGATCAAACTCTGGGAGTCTATGTCCACTCAAGCATTCCTTCCATCACCCCCCCTGCCTTCTGACATGCTGACATATACGGAGCTCGTGTTGGATGATCAAGGTCAGCTGGTCCACATGAATAGGCTTCCAGGAGGAAATGAGGCAAGTAGCTGAATCCCCTTCCCCCTTTCCTTAATCTCTGTGACCACTAGTAGCAGCTTTCCATGGAGCTGGTCATTAAATAGCATTAATTTAGATCCTGCATTAATTTAGGTGCTACATAGGTAGCATAGTAGTCTTGCTGGTAGAGAATATTGACTAGATATCAAGGAATTAGTAGTTTTTTAGGTGTGATAATATTTTTTAAATGGTGTTAACAATTTTGCTTTCTAAAAAAGAATGATGTTTTCTGTTGGACATAACCTATTTAAAATAGTTACAGGTGAAATGATCCAGTGTCGAAGATTTGCTTCAGAGTAATGGTGGGGTGAGCGTGGGACTATAGATGAAACAAGATTGTTCATGAGTTGTTAATCAAAGCTAGATGATATATCCATCGAAGTAGACCGTTTTCTCTATTCTTGTATATACTTGAAATTTTGAGATTTGTCTATAATAAAAAGTTAAAATGTTGTTTTGCTTGATGTTTTTTTCTTATTTGAATATTTACATACTAGTATACCTTTTTTGGCATGTTTTCTGTGCTCAGGTAATTTGATCTGGTGCTGTTAATGATCATGGTATATATATTCTTAAAGAGGCTCAACCAGAACCAGAGATTTAAACATAAAAGAAAGTAGCAGAAGCCCATTTCTGGTAGTGTCTAAGAATGCATTTTCTGGCATTGGAATCCTCTCTTTTATGGTGCACTGTTAATAATGATATAAAGTCGTATTCTGCCCTTTGGCCTATGTCCTCCTCTTCCTGATTTTAACTATGCTTTCAATGTATAGTTACAACCGAAATAACAACAATAATACACCTAAAAAGAGATAGGTTTTTATTTCAACCTTAGATAGAATCCCTAGATAAATCTCATTCTTTAGAAAGAGTAATCTTTACCTGGGTATTCTCCATAAACAGGCTGGGTAGACCTCTGGAGGTGATATGTGGTATTTTCCATTTTGTGCAGTATCTTTTTCAAAATCTGTTACTGTATATACAAGGTGTGTGCTGTTTCAGTAAGTACACCAGTGGATGCCAAAAGTAGATGAATTGGTATTAAGATGGATGCAAGCATTGGACCAGATGGAGAATGTCAGACTATAGGAGTTCTTCTAATCTAATGCCTCAACAAATAGAAAGGCAAGAGGTGAAGGAGGAAAGATGCGTAGAATTTTGACAAGAATAGATACATACTCGTTAATACACAAAGTTGAAGCAGAGGTTTGTGCCACGGTGTAGCATCTATGTAGTGAGCCCCTCAACAGCAAAGAAAAGCTTCATTGTGCTAGACTTAAATTCTGATTCATTCAACAGTGTAGTCTTTAGGAATGGAAGGCACCCTTGTGAACATGGGGCTGAGAGAAAAACGGTTTAACTAATGTAATTAACACAAAAAAATGAGATTTTTGGCCACGTGAAAGCTAGCAGCACTGCTGTGTGAAACCTCTTGCCATGATCTTTCTCTTCTGCTTTCTCTCTGCTCTCATTCTGTGTTTGAGCGAATGGAGACTGGGGGAATAGTGAAGTCCCAGAGGGACAGAGCTCTGTTCTTGCTGAAATTACAAGCACAGAGCTGCCTGGGCATGAACATGTAGTGTTTACTCTGCCAGTATGAATACAAATAGTCTTATTATACGGGACTCTGTACCCAAAGACCACACACACACACACACACACACACACACACACACACACAAGAATAAAAAAAAAATTAAAGGTTTTTTTTAACCCTTTTAAGACCCAACAAACCTGGATGCAAAAGGGATGTCTTAAACAGCCGCAGAGTACTACCGTTATGAGCAGTAGAGTCGGTACAGGGGCCATATGTTTTCCTTTGCCCAGTGCTTTAATAATCTTGAAATCAAGAAATCTAATGGTATTTGAATTTTATTTTTTTGTATTTATTTTATTTATTTTTTTTATTTTGCTTTTTATCAGTTCTCACTTTCTTCTTGTTCTACTCTTTTCCCTCCTTAGTTGCCTATTTTCTTTGTTCTCTTTTCCTTTTCTTCAAATGATTGACTAGGATTGAGGCGGAGTTGTTGGCTTGCTGTTTCTGAGTCTGAGCTCGGGAGGAGTGAGACTGATGTTCTTTTGTGAGCAGTTAGTGACTAATGCCTAGGGTGGCTGGTGAAGTCAGTCAGTAGCTGTAGCTAGATTATAGGGCATTGCGCACCAGGAATGAGGTTGGGGTATTAGTATCAAACTCCGTTACCAATAGCTTGAGCGTACAATGGTGCATGTCCACTGAGAAACTGACCAATCTAAAGATGGAGTTTCAGCACTCAGAACTCTGAGGGACAGCTGTGCCTAAGAGATGACGAGGTGTCAGTGGGATGTATTTCCTCATGCTGAGCCCAGTTTTATCAGAGCAAGTTGACTTTCAGCTATTGCAGGTTAATTTTCTTTGGCCAAAGAGACAAGTTTGTCATGAACCTGGCACTCTCCCTATTACCCCAAGAGTGATGTGAAGGGAAAGAAAAGAGCTCACGCTGATGAGATTTGGAGCAAATCTGTCCTGTCCCAAAGAGAATGGGCATCTGAACAGAGCCTTGAGAAATAGTTTTATTAAAGAAGGAATAAAAAATTGACCCATTAATGTTCTGAGAGCCAAGGCTCCATGTAAATGCATTGATGCTACATAGACATTAAATCATCATAATGTGGTGTTCTCCAAAGGTGATGGCTCTACCAGGTCATCATTGTGGGTGATACTGCATTACCTTGAAGGATTGGAGTTTCTGGGTTTAAAAGCTAGCACATGGATATAAGGAATGAAGGTAAAACAAGAGCTTCCTGCGGAGTTTCCCCATGAATCGAGATGCTTTTCCCCATAATCAAACGCAGAAAACCTGTACTTATAAGACCATCGACTGTATGGGTGGCCGGCTTTCTTCCTTGTTTTTTTTCCCCCCAGGACAGTAAATAGGTAAAATGGTGATGGGACCAGGACTTGGAACAATTCAGTTCCATTTAGTTTTAGGTAACTTGTGTGCCATTTGAAAAAGAATATTGGCTGTTTCAGCAGAGATGTGACCTGCATTTTGAACATTGTACCCATGTTAAAAGCAGAAGAAAGCGATTTTCTGATGTGGTGTTAGCCACTTTCTCCTCTCTGTTTTCCTAGTTGTCCCTTCCCCATCAAGAAAGGTGTAACTGAGCATGCCACCTTATTCATGATGGAAGTATGGGAGAACACATTTTTCTCATTGTCAGGTTTGAATGGCATTGCATTTAGTATGAATTTAGAGTAGGAATAAAAGAGATGTAGACCAAATCTGTGAACTGTGTTACTTGCAAATAGCTCCAAAGATGAGTTGTCTAGGGTTTTTTGTTAATAGTTTCAAATAAAGATGAAAATTGTGGAAAATGTGATTGCGACATAGACTAAACTTATTTCAATTCTAGCGGCTATGATGCTACAGTGATGGGTACCATATGTAAATACACAGCTAGATGAATGTGTACTGTTGAGCCTGGTTACAGAGGAAATGCAGCTAACCAACAGTTCTACGTTTACTGCTTCTCAGTTTTGGGGGAATTGTTTTCATTTTCCTGCCAGTTTGCTAACCTGTTTTGATCATTTGGTGGAAGCTGTAATTGCAGGTGGGAACATCTTGAGTAACAGTTCACAATCTACTGCAGCTGCGTTTCACGCTAAATCCTGTTATTAAAAGGCTCAGGCTAAGATCAAGCCAAGGGTGGTAACAGACTTGACAGAGAACAACTTAACTTTGCCTGGTGTAGGACAAAGAAAACACTAGCCTTCTTGAGACCACTTTTTTTGTTGTTATTGTTCTGAAATGTTATTAGCATTCTTTTATTATATTTCCTTTAACTGCTCTGTGAACTAGATCATGAATCTCTAATTGGGCAGCGAGGAAAGACATGATAGGCAACTTTTGTAGCACTTTTGGTGTGGACAGAAAGTAGGACCCTGTTTTCCTTACTCTTTCAGCACGTGGGCTTTTTAACAACATAGACCCTCCCTCTCATCTCTCATGTCATAATGAGAAACTGAGATGAGAACATTCTCTGTTTAGAAGCAGCTATAATAATTAGGTACAGGGTGTGTATTCCAAAAAAGGATCAGTAATGAAGGACTGGAATTCTTGCATGGCATTAAATTTTTTCCTTAAAATTTTTCTGGGAGATAAGCATATTCCAAATTGAATGCAATCTGATGATCACCTTTGCACGTACTACCACACTTAAGAATTGTAGTCACTGCAAGGCTTCATTTCTTCAGATGGGCACTAGGTGTCAGGGTTTTTCCTTCTCAGCACCTTGGCATTTAGACAAGCCTCTGGAATTGCCCTGTTTGGTGAGGCAGATCCAGTGGTATCCAAACTTCTTTTTTTTTCAGTTGGTATGGTGGGCTTTGCCTGGTGTTCCTCCAGTATGCAATTGCATTTTTAACTCTTGGGCAGAGATCAGGTGAACCTTACTATATCATGCTCTACACATTTTTACAGGAAACGTTTTTTTAGGAAGAGGATGATTGAGGAAAAAATAGTGTAGATTAAAGTTTAAAGACTGGTTGCCATCGTGACTGGTATCTTTTATGCTCTTGGGGTGGAAGGGTAGGGATGGTGGGAATTAGGAATTTAGTTCTAGAACTGCCCAGCCTTGCCCATAGTTAATTGTTGGCAACATTTTGATGTTCAGCTTCAGCAAGGTGTAAGTGTCTGTAATTTTTTATCATAAAATATTTCAAAATTATAGAAAAATATGGAGAGTGATATGACAAAAACCCCTGCATCTACTGACTGCTTAAAAAGAGCTTATCGTTTTGACACTGCTCCTCACTTTTATGTTGTTATAATCCTTTGAAATCTCTAATTGGAGTATAAAAACAAAAAAAAATTTTAGGAATTAGTAGGGAAAGAAGTTGGTAAGCTTATAGAAGCCTAAAAGATTGGAAGAAATTAATTAGTAGATCCATTTTGACAATTCTTAGGCTGGACCTCTAAACCCAAAGGACCTCTTTTTTTAAT